GTGTGAGCTATAATCATCAAAATTATTACAAACAAGGGCTTGGCATGTGATGAGTATCTATCATAAATAGGCTGCACCTTGTAAAGTTATTAACAGAACTTTTAAACAATATTTTCTGAGTAGGAAGCATTCATGGTCGTGTTTTCTCTTTGTTATAGGATCTGCTTTCTTTGGCCTCAGTTTGGACACGTTATTGTAAGTATGTTCTGATAAAACCGTTAAGTCATTACAAAAAAAGATAATATGAACAATTACAAAATCGTGACTTCAAGGATTAACATGAAACAAATGGGAAATATCGGTGAAGGTGAGTTCGTATGGATATGAGCTTTCCCTATTCATGGCATTCATGCATGACTTTAATAACATAATCATGGAAATCGATATTTTGGAGCCGTATCACTCAGCCCTCATTTTGTCATCATCATCAAAGCATTCTCATACAGTACTGCATGCCTGCGTGCATGTCTGTGAAAGGTAAGTAAGTAAGTAAGTAATCTTTATTTATATACCGCCTTTCACAGACCAGAGTCACAAAGCGGTTTACAATTGTTATTTTTGGGCACTTGTCCTCTCACTCCACACAGAGATGGGAGCGGGGTCGCCGAACAGGAGGCGCATGCCAGACCTATTGTAAATATTTTTAGTGGTAGGGGAAACCGGAGTACCCGGAGGAAACCTACGCAGACATGGGGAGAACATGCAAACTCCACTCAGAAAGGCCCTAGCCCGACCGGGATTCAAACCCAGGACCTTCTTGCTGGGGTGGTATATAAATAAAGATTACTTACTTACTGAAAAAGGCAACAAGAAGAAGAGAAAAATCACAGAATCCCAGCCCTAAATTCAGACTTTTAAACACATTTGAGGACTATCTGTTTTTTGACTATCATTTTCCTTCAAAAAAGACTTAATTGAACAGATTTTCCAAGAGAGTTTCTAGTGCATGGTCCGTTATATGGTTTTATCACATTATAGCGACTGTTACTAACGCATATGTATATGTTTTAAATATCACTGTTGCGTTATTCCAGTGTCTCTCAAAGTGGAAATTTTTTACAATTGAAAACATTGTACTATCATCAATGTCCAGTTTGGTCAACAACTATTTGTGTGTTTTGTTAATAATAATAATAATAATAATAATCTCTTGGGCGCCTTTCCAGGCACTCAAGGTCGCCATACACACAAGTAAAAAGTACATTTTCAAACAGTTGTTGTTTTGCTGAATTGTTTGGACCAACCTCCACACAGTCTTTCACGTACCATGAAATCAGGCCATCATTTCACCATGTTGTGTTTTTCTTTTGCTTTAAAGAGCCACATAAGGAAGCGTGCATGTGCTGCTGAGTGTTGATTGTGTGGGTCTGGAGGGGGGTCTGTCCGTGGGAGTGTGCCCCGTGAGCAGGCACAGATGCTGGGCACAGTGAGAGATGGAAGTGCCTGGTTCTCCTTATGCATGAGCCAAAGGGAAACACGTATTTGGGCGTGTTCTCAAAAAGATACTGAGCCAAGATTGAAATGCAAACAGGGCACATCTCTGTATAAATATGTGACTGAGGCCAGAATATTACAATATAGATGAACACAACATCACAGTGGTTACACCCTGACAAACAGACAAAGATTTAGAGAAGTTTATGGTGATATAGGCACATGGATCTTCAGATTATACATTGCATACAGCAAAAACAATTGAGGATTGTGGTTTACTTTTCTTTACTTTTCTTTCATTACCATTTCTCAATTGCAATTGTTTGTTATTGTATTGTAATAAGTTTCCCTAAGTCTAAAAAGTAAAGGTGGTAAGACTGATACAGTGCCAAGGACAAAGACCTGAAGATTCTAATAAAATATTGCACAAATCAGGACACAAAAAGTAATGTACATTGTGATAACAGCACAATGGGCAGTTATGTCCTTCTGCACGTCAACACAGACTAACTTCACGCATGTGCATCAGACTTCATGCAGACTTTACATACAGTAGTTCATAGCAAGGACTTTACAGAAAACTGGAATACACTTGGAATATGTGATGCCAAACCGAACCAATGACTGCTCTCTAAAATATGACAGGATTACAAATGCAATCTCCATCCACAGGTATAACGACTTTAAAGGTCAAAAGTTAAGCCCACTGACTCCCCCTGTGTCACCGTGACTTTGTTTCTGACAGCTTTCTCCACATAATTATAAGAAAGTGTGTTGTCTGCTGCCACGCGTGCCTCACCTCGTGTGCTGCTGCAGCCGGGGGAATCCTCGAAGTCCTCCTCGTCAGGACTTTTCCGTTTCTTCGACATTTGCCGCTCTCGGGAGGAATGACAGCTTGATCCACCGCTGAACCGATACGAGCCGATAAAGCGAGACAGCCCTCAGCCAGCCGGATACAAGACACATGCAATAGTCTGCGGGAGGCGAGAGGAGGAAGGCGAGGGACGCGCAGAGCCGTTCATTCAGATAACCTTCTCCAAATGCCTCCTTTTTGTCAATGGGAGTGTGTGCGCTGCGAGTTCCGCGCTGATTCCCGCCGTAATCTGCAAAGACGTGACAGAGCCGCGGCTTTATTTCTGTGACAGATGAGAAATATTCGCAGCTGGAACGAGCAGATTAGTGCGCAAGCCCTATGGTACGGACATTTACGCGCTCCGGACTCCTGTAGCAACTTGTTGAGTCTCGCCTTTATCATTGGAGGAGAAAAAATTTGTCTTCGTCACTCGGTTTTCGTCTCTTTTTTTCAAGCAATTTCGATTTTTGATGCCATATGAGGCGTTTGAATGGCTGCATGCGACGTCATTGTGAAGCTCTAATCAGACGCGTATGACGCACGGCCTGCACGCGGGGAACTCTTGGCGTCTTCGTGAGTATATAGGCGATCGTAAAGTGAGATTACCTACACGTGATCTGCCTGCATAGCTCCAGTTGGCAACAGTCTCTGTGCGCTTTAGAGAAGGAATACACGCTCTGCCGTTGTCCAAGTGTTCTTCTCTTGCTTTGGCAAACACAAATCCTGCTGCAAAAGAGTCCATGCCAAGTTAAGTTCACTAGAAGTTTAACAGCGCCTTTTCTGAATTCAGACAAGCGGTGCTAAACATAAATACAGTCTTTGACACTTCTTGCGTAAAACCACCCACTCCGAGTGCCACAGATGCAGCATGAATGGGACAAGCGCACGTTGTGTTCCCAGCCGCCTCCTCTGTCATGTCAGCCCCACGAACCAGTGCGTCTGCCATCCAGGCGCGTTCACAACACACAAGCAGCTCATAAATAGGGGAATGTTGCGTGTGCTTTTACATGAGAAAACAATGACGACAATGCCGTGCTCGTATGGCAGATTCCCTCAGGTTTGAACAGCTCTCGGTTGCAGAAAACCAAACCCCCCGAAAAATAACAAAGGAATAGACACAGTCAAATGGTGCTCTGACATAATTGAGTTTTCCTTTCGGGAAAGTGACGGATGGATGACACCAGAGGAGTTTCAGCTCTGTTCGCAGCACCTTTCTCCCTTTTCATGACTTCATTGGTCCATTTATTTATGAAGGCTCCGGGCCAGGGATCAGATTGCTTCTACATCTGGTTTGCATTTCTCTCCCGTGTCTCGTGTGTCATTTGGACGCAGGCTTATAGCGTTTTGTTCCGCGCACATTGTGCTCAGATATTGTGTATCGCTGAGTTTTCTTGCTCAGACAGAGTTTACACTTGTATTTATGCCGGTGACGCTGGTGTTTCATGTCTTTTCTGAAGGCAAACCCTCACCCCTCCCTCTCGCCCATTCACTGCAGCTACTGACGTCAGGACTCGTGCTTGCGTCAATGCTCCCGCTTTGACAGAGAGCTTTTCTTTTTTCTTTTGGATCATAATGGGATTATTAGGCTTATAGAGAAATATCATCCTGTAATGGACATTTAGTAGTCCTTTCAAATATGGTACAGCCTATACTAGCTATGTCTGCTTCAATTGTTATTATTGCATTGGCAAATGCATTGTTGCAATACACGATGAATCAAACATAAGCTAGACAAAGGTAAACATAGATAGTATTGGTCAGATATAGACTCTACCATCTATGTTTCTAATCTAGACCCATCTGTCCTCATAGTCAATTGTCCTTGTATTTGACCAATCAGGGCGCAATACCCTCAATTGTAAACAAATTCCTAATATGACATAGTTTTTGTTAAACAGGTTTATTCATCATGCACAGGCCTATGGCTAGCCAAAGGTGGCACAGAAGCACCCGAGGAGACACTTTAGAACAGAGGAAAGGTTCAGTTTCCAACCGTGGAGTTTGATCCTGCAGACACTTGAGCTCTTTCCTTCACATATCACTGCTGTCTCTGAACCACTATTTCCTTATCATTTGACCTTGATCACAAAGGACTACTGTGGATATATTGCTTCTTTTCACTTTGCCATATGTCTGTAATCGTTCCTTTTTTCCATTCATATACAACATTTAGTATGACATTAAAGTAATCATCAGTAACTTCAGTTATAGTTTAACTTTTGAAAATAATGCAATATTTTTAAATGAATGCATATTTTTCATGCCTCACCTCCGGTAAGATTTGATGTGAGAAAAGTTAAACCAATGGTGAGAGGACATACCGGTCACAATGGGAGGGGACGTTTTCTCTCCACAAACAAGTAACACTGAGTCTTGTACGCACTGTACTATCTTGTAACCTTCTGAAATCTGATGAAACCCATCCATAGAACAGCAAAGATTAAATCATCCTTATTATGCAAAGCACCAAACAGTCACATTTATTATCATGTATTATGACAGAGCATCCGTTATTTATTTATAGCAAACTGAAATACTATTTACACTATAAATACTTCTGTTTGGGCATCACTGCTGGGCTGCTTAATATAAGCAGGTAACGATTGTCCCTCACAATTTCTTACAATACAAATAAGGCACTTATTTTGTGTTTCAAAAAAAACTTTGTTCTAATAACTTAGTTTATTGCACACAAGCCTGATCTCAAAGTTGGTCAGATGGAAGGCGGTGTAACGGGGGTCCAGGCTGAATGTATCCTGTGTGGAGAGGAGTCATAGTGCAGCTCTGTGCTGCTGCTGTCGTACAAAGGGGAGCCACCAGAGGGCACTGTCACTGAGTGGCACAAGCCACTGTAGTTTGTGTTGGATCTCTGCAGGAACTGTGAGTTTAAACTGTTGTTTCCAGTGTCTGACATTGGGGCGAGCGCAGAGTTAGTCACAGACCACAAGCTGGGATATTGCCTGTTCAGGAGACAGAGAATGCACGGCTTTAGCATTATTGGCATGTGCACAGTAGGATAAGTGTAACACTAAATAGAATAATAATACAATAATACAACAATAAATATAACAGATAACCATCCAAGTAACATACGCAGAGTTTGTGGATGTTGAGTTGTGGGCCATGGGCAACACTGGGGAGTGTGAAGGCATCTGTAAACTGGACCAGTTATCATGAGTGGGCAGCATGGGCAGACAGGAAGAGTTGTCAGCATAACCACCTACAAAACACAAGAGATACAACTAAATATCATAAAATAACAAATTTAGCAGACGTGTCCCACTTGTGTTTTCCTCTTAAAAGTCTCCATACAATCCTTGCCCAAAACATTTACTGCTTTGAGTCTCCACTTGCACAAAAGCCGGAGGAATTTAAGACATGTGTAGCTCCGTGACACTTGTTTGCTCGTCTTGTTAATAGCTGCAGAGGAAGTGGGGATGTTTGAGCACTTACTGGGTGAGTTGGTCCGGTGGCTGTATGGACTGGGGTAAGGGGCAGCTCGGTGATTCCTGAGGGACGAGTATCGCTCACAGCTCTGGGAAGAGGACAGAGAGATGGGACTTCCATACTGACTGTGGGGGTTGGTATTGGGGGGGCAGAGGGAGCCTGATCCAGGAATAAACCAGCCACCTAAACAGAAAGAAGTAATGATATGAGTAAAAATAATATACAAAGTTAATTAAAATGTTTGCATGCTTACATTGTGAGTATGGAAGCTGCTGGTTTTCATGAATTTCTTCCTTTATATCCTTTGTATCATGTCTGCAGAAATCAAAGTGTCAATGAGAATGACTATTTTGATTAAAAAATAATAATAATATATTCACAAAGACATTTACATGACAAAGATGTTTACCTTTCTTTGGCATCCAAAAAAGCCTTAGCAAAGGGGTTGTGCTTGATTTTTAGAGCAGTTATCTGAAATGGAAAATAAATAAATCAGTGTTGGTAAAAGAAACCAATAAACACAAAGTGCAAAAGTAGGTTTTTAAGAAGGGGGAAGCAACTTTCAAATCACTTTTTTTTACCCATAGTTCCTCTCACCTATAAACAGTTTGGTTCTCTCTGTACTTTTCACCTCCATGTATCACATCTTTAGATTCACTTTTTTAGACAAGAAGAGTGGACCACCTTCACTCAGCCCTCAGCCCAAAGCGTCAAACCGTGACTCGCATGGACAAATACGCAAAATATAATGTTTTTCTAATGAGACGAAAAGCGCATGTTGTGGTCTGACGTGTTCACAACGTGTTTCTGTTGGGACACACAACAAGTACCCCAGCTTTATTGCGAAAACCCCGTGCGTAAAAGTGCGTCTGAGATTTGAAATGGCTATATAGTGAGACATTGGAGTTCCACGTGAGTTTACCTCTTCGTTTTGGTACGCAGTCACCGCGATGAACTGTGTTTCGGGGAACGCATGGCTTGTGATCATCCTCCGGGGTCCTCCAACGCGAACGATGTGAATGCGTGGCTCGTATTTATGCAGTGAATTCAGCATAATCTGAAAGTGCAAATGGCATGTTACAATAAACCATCATGAATATGGCTTATATCGAAGAGAATAAGCTGCAGTTTTGGGGTTTTCTGTCCATACCTGCCCACCTCCGTTGAGTTTATTGGTTAGTTTGACTTTACTGAAAGATACGGGCGCTTTCATCCAATGCGCGCCAAAGTTTGGAGAGTCCGGGTGGATGTACACGCAGCTGGGTGTTTGGGGTTCAGGTTTTCCTCCCGGGACCCACTCTCCGTTCACGTACTTCCACCGGTGGTTGTCCGCAGTGGCGAAGTCCAGCAGAAAGGAATACATCGCGTTTGGGTCCAATCCAGAGACATTCGCTTTGAGGACTGGAAACATGCGCCTATACATAACAATACACAAGAGAGACTTTACGCGCGCTCTAATAGTTGAGTTTATGTGCTCGGTGTTGACCTTACCTTCCATTCTTTGTCACAATCATTTCATTTGTAAGATCCTTAAACTTGTGCCAAAGATCCTTTTCGTCCAGAGTGACTTTGAGGTCCTGTTCTGTGGGGTCGCCTTTCTCGCTGCCCGCTTGGAGCTCTGTCTCCACGGCGCTGAGGAGGTGGTCCACACGGTACTGGCTCATTTTGACCGGACACTCACCGGCTCCCGATGTCATTGTATCCAGTAAACACAAGCTTAAACGGCCACACAAGTTCCACAAGAAAAAAGTAGTAATCCAAACTTGATCTAACGGGGGTTTAAAGCTTGCATTATTTATACAAGCCTCTTTGCTGGCTGGAGCCCAGTGGATAAACCCGATTGGTTCGCGCGTCCTTTGATCTCTGCGGACCCGTCTGTGATTGGTGGAGGGGGGTGCTGTCAACAGGATGAGTGCGTTTTGAATAAAGTCCGAGTTTATTGCATGGACCTGTAAAGACTGACACTTAGATCAAAGCCACCTGCAGAAAGTAAAGCGCGGCCGCAGACTGAGCGTCTCAATCCATCGTGCAGGACGCCATGAGATCCGGATTGAGCCTGACTTTGATAAATGATGGATTAAGATTACACGGTTCAAGTTAAGATAACGCTACATTTACATTGTCATATAAACAGTCAAGAGAAAGTCACAGATCGTTTTTTAACATCTGTAACAAACAAAGGCCTTTGTGAAAATGTGCCAGTGCTTGGGTGTAGCCTATTGTCTTAAATAATAATTATAATATCAATAATAAGTCAATCGTGTATAAAAAGAAGCCTGGTATTGATGCATAGAAACAACAGATAATGTCACATATAGATACAGCTCCATACAACTACATAGAAATTATATTTATTTTAAAAAGCATCTTTCAATTGACACTCAATCCTAAAGTGCTAAAAATTCAAGGATGAAAGAAAAAATACAACGAAAAAGATGAAAAAATCACATTTGAACTTAAACCTAAATGTTTTTGAGCTCTTAAGATAATCAATGACTCTTCTGGCCAAGCTGGACAAGCAATGTTCCAGCTTCTTCCTTCTGGCAGACACTATTGTTGTCGATATGCTAACAGCTTCTTTCCACAAGCTGTGATCAGTTTGAACAAAGCACTTTAATGATCTAGCACTTGTATTGTATTGGTTTCACAGTAACAACTGTTTTGTGTACTTTAGCTTGTTTTATTTTGTATATTTGTCTGGTGCACACTGGGGGACTTTTACACATATTTTCCAATGTGTTTTTTTTTTTTTTTTTTTTTTTCACTGCAAATGGCAAATAGGACACTTTAACATTCCAGAACATGTTTGAACATTGTTTTAACATGTGTTCTATATTCTTTCTGTGTTTTAACTGTTGACTCTCTGATCTGTGTTGGTGATCCAATGGTTTTGTTAAGTCCTCTGAGATGACTTCTGTTGTGATTTAGGGCTTTACAAGAATACATTGTTTTGTATTGTATTGTAAAATGAATCTGAATCTGCATAATAATACGAATACAAACGCACAGTTTAAACAATTTAGATATACCCTACACTGAGGCATGGTCAGAAACCTATGGCTCTTTTAAGGATTGTGTCCGGCACTTAGAAAAATCTTAGTAGGCATTAATAAGTAAAAAGTCTTTATGTTTTGGATTTCTTCAGTATAAAGATGTTATTAAACAAATGAATACACTCTACACTGTGTTGATCTAAATCACACATATTCACAGTAAAAGCAATGTGTGGCTGCTACAGAAATATACATTTTGGCTCTCTCAGCTAGAATGCTTCCCGACCTCTGATCTATGGCATATACTTTCTAACTGCAGCCTACAGCTCAGGGACACTAACGTTTATTCATTTAGATACAGTATCTCATTCTGACACTGCAGCGTAATTCTTCCATAGTTTTAACCCGCCGCTGATGACCTATGGAGAAGCACACACATTTGCATATCATTAAAACAATATCATCCACATTTAGGACACATCAACACAGCCAACTTCACCTCCACTTTCTTCCCGCGCACATGCTCGATACACAACGGCTCAGGTTTTGTGTTGAGACGCTCCGATTGTCCAAAAGACCGCACACTGCCAAGAGACACACACACGCTGCACAATCACCGCCATTTCTGATCACTTTTAATTATTTGCATACTTCTCTTCCACTTGATGAGGCTTCTCTTGGGCAGGAGGAGGTTGTTGTTGTTGTTGGCTCAAAATGGGAGATGGTGTCTTCTCATGTGAGGTCATATCTGGAAACGTCTGGGAAAAAAAACGTTCATTCACACTTGAACAAACAACTGTGACAATCATAAAGTGTTTTTTTTAATAAATATATTTGTGTGTTTGTGCCCGAGTTTATGTTACCAACCAAATCTGGGGTCTTCGGCCTCTCCCCCTCAGGCCAACACACAGAGTCTACTTTTCGGTCCAACAGTCTGCAGAGGAGTTCGCAGCAAACAGAGAAAAATAAATCATCATGTCACTTTGAAGAGCTTTAGGACACAAGTCTGACCCACGTCCAAACACTGCAGCGGACAAGAACTTTGACTAGAAATGTAAAAGGAACTCTGCTATATAATAGTTATTACCAGAATACAAATGTGAAATCACACTTTATTGACAAGAGATAGCTTCACAATATTGCCATAATACTCAGACAATATACTAATGATTAAAGCTATTATTATTAATTATTCAACCTATTCTACTATCCCCTTTTCTGTAGATAGAAAAAGTATATAAAAAAATGTCATTGTAGTAGAAAAAACCTTTACATATAAGTTAAATGTTTTTAGACTGTTTAATTTTACATTTCAGATTTTCAGCTCATCTAGAATAGATCAAATCCTTTGTATGGGACATTGTGTGTGCAAATAAATCAAACATTAAACAAAGAAGATAGACAATGTTTAGAACTCACCTAAAATTCTGTGAAAACTTCCTACTTAACAAACAGAGGCTGTGCATGTCTTTCACTTGAATCAAGTACATTTCAGCCTTCATTCTTTTCTTTGGAATTTCAAGAGATGCCTTTAAAAACATGTGTAAAGAGGACCTTTTATTTGACATAAAATATATTTTCTTCAACAACAGAATCCTGAATGTGTGACGCACCGAACGTGGCAGCGAGCTCTGGAAACTTCTCATAGAGTTTGGCTGAAGATTTATGAACCTGGCCTCCTTCATCTGCAAGTGCATAGTACAAATTAACATGGAATATAAGAAAAGTATTCAGATCTATATATTTTTAGCGTAATACGTTTATATGAAGAATTATCAACCATATTAGTAATTGACTATTATTAATAGCACCGTGACAGAAGTGAAGGCAATCAGAAAAGTTCTATTGTATTGGTACTCAGACTTCTTGCCCAGATTAGTTGAATTTAGCACTCAATAATCACTCCCTTGTTGTCCATGATTCACTATTTTATGAAAAGGCCTGTCCCTCTGTAGTCCGTCTGTATACGAGCTGCAGAGGTGAAGGTGTTGGTCCCAGTGTCACTTCCCACAGTTGCTGTGTCCCATTTGGCGCCTGGTTCTCACCCAGTCATTCATTCAGTGCTAACTCCTGGACTATGGCCCACTTCCTGGTCCCAATCCGCAGCTACGGGAATTTCTGCTCTAAATCTACATGGAGGTCTCTTTAAAAACGCAGGTGCAATACATGTGAAGAGCAACCATTCTAGTCAGATGACCACTGTATGCACGTCCAGGGCTGGGCGCATTCAATGTGTGTCCACCAATTCGATATGTTTTACGACATATTTTTAAGGTGAGAAGACCTCTGCTAAAAAAACGTCTTTTTATTTACTATTTATATCTTATTTTAAATGAACATTTTCTAGCATAACTTGTAAATAGGCCGAAGCAGAGAAATAGCTGTAATTTTTCGAACGATATCTGAGACTTTGAATTTTTGTACAAAAGAAGCAACCCTTTATCTGAATTCGAGTTGTATGTCAAAACACACTAGAAAAAATACCAGAAAACTGAAATGAATGAACACATGAATACAATTAGAACGACGGATTGTTATTTTATCATGAAGTTTGAGAGCTATTTATTCATTGAGATTGGCCGAACATGGGCCCTTTAAGTCTTTTGGATCGAGTCAGTTGGTTTGTGTCCAGGTTTAATTTCTCTAACAAAGATTGAGTAAAATCTAATGACATTCGACGATAAAATTATTTCTTATGCTCTCTTCAGATGTCTCAGATTTGCCCGGACGGTTGAGAGTTGAATAACGGCTGTTTTTGCCTCGGCTGGTCCCTGTCTGACCAGTGTTTGCCTTCTCCCCCAGCCAAACTCTGCCCATATTTGCACAGGTCCATTCTGACACAGGGGTGAGAGAAAAATGACTGCTGCAACTCAGCATAACATCATCTCCGGTGTGGTCACTGCAGGCGGCTAAATATTAGAAAAACAGCAACGACTATTGATCATAACAATACATACAGTTTGTGGTAGAATGACAAATGGGGGACTACACTTTAACAGTAGACAACAAAATAATACAGACACATGTAGCTTATTGTTTACTATTTTGTTTTCCCAATCTTATTTTATTCAACGGTAAAAATGTAAATGTAGGGTCCTACTCCTGCTTTTCTCCATAGAGATGTGATTGCTTTGCCATCAAATGAAAAACAAGTCTTTCGTACTTCAGTAAAAGTATAGATACCAGTCTGAAAATAATCTGATAAAATAAAATGTACTGAAATAATTCTTAACTGAAAGTGTGAAAGTAAAAGCTCTTGTACGAACGTTAAGAAGTAAAATGCATTTTTGTAGCATAATTGGAAAACAGTAAATTTGAGACACTTTAAGCAATGCTTTTGAAACATTTGCAGTAAACATTAGTGATTGATTAATCCGTATATGACTCCTATCTGGATTTACAAAGACACTATCTAAATATAAACACAGCAGAATCACAGTGAGTTCAAAACCACAGATTTGGAGCCCAAAATGATGAGTTTGACACAAATGGATACTGATCTAGAAGAGTTTACTTTCTAGTCAATAGGCGCCGGAGCGAGTTAGAGGAAAACTTTGTCCATGAGCATTTCCCTATTGGGCTTCATTGATCTAGCAATATGAATAAGATTTGTATTTTAGGTGGTAGAGTTTTAAAATTCCCTGAACATCGTTTTAAAGTTGATAAAGACA